TACCTAATTAGGGCTGGGTCGAACTAGGAGGGTAAATAAGTGAAGGTCCCTTTAACGGCGATGGTAAGTAAATTAAAGAAACCTAAAGGACCCTTTTCCACTCCTTCTGTTGCTCTGGGCATATAGGGCCAGACCTATTGTGTATAGACTAATCTGCACTTGGTGGGTGATGCTTGTCAGTTTCACGCCGGCTGCCATTACCTCCCAGGACTGTTCATGGTGCCCACTCAAGGCTAAGTCGAACTGGGAGGATAAATAATTGAAGGTCTTTTTTAACGGCGATGGTGCATGGGGTAAATCATATTGTTCGGCCCTAGACAGGTTATCTAGTTCACATTACGGTGAATCATACTGTTCGGCCCTAGATAGGTTATCTAGTTCATATTACCGTGAATCATACTGTTCGGCCCTAGACAGGTTATCTAGTTCACATTACGGTGAATCATATTTCTCGGCCCTAGATAGGTTATATAGTTCACATTACGGTGAATCATACTGTTCGGCCCCAGACAGGTTATCTAGTTCACATTACGGTAAATCGTACTGTTCGGCCCTAGACAGGTTATCTAGTTCACATTACGGTAAATCATACTGTTCGGCCCTAGACAGGTTATCTAGTTCACATTACGGTGAATCATACTGTTCGGCCCTAGATAGGTTATCTGGTTCACATTACGGTGAATCATACTGTTCGGCCCTAGACAGGTTATCTAGTTCACATTACAGTGAATTATACCGTTCGGCCCTAGATAGGTTATCTAGTTCACATTACGGTAAATCATACTGTTCGGCCCTAGATAGGTTATCTAGTTCGCATTACGGTAAATCATACTGTTCGGCCCTAGACAGGTTATCTAGTTCACATTACGGTAAATCATACTGTTCGGCCCTAGACAGGTTATCTAGTTCACATTACGGTAAATCATACTGTTCGGCCCTAGACAGGTTATCTAGTTCACATTACGGTGAATCATACTTTTCGGCCCTAGATAGGTTATCTAGTTCACATTACGGTGAATCATACTGTTCGACCCTAGACAGGTTATCTAGTTCACATTACGGTAAATCATACTGTTCGGCCCTAGATAGGTTATCTATTTCACATTACGGTGAATCATACTGTTCGGTCCTAGATAGGTTATCTAGTTCACATTACGGTGAATCATACTGTTCGGTCCTAGACAGGTTATCTAGTTCACATTACGGTGAATCATACTGTTCGTCCCTAGTTAGGTTATCTAGTTCACATTACGGTGAATCATACTGTTCGGCCCTAGATAGGTTATCTAGTTCACATTACAGTAAATCATACTGTTCGGCCCTAGATAGGTTATCTAGTTCACATTACGGTAAATCATACTGTTCGGCCCTAGACAGGTTATCTAGTTCACATTACGGTAAATCATGCTGTTCGACCCTAGACAGGTTATCTAGTTCACATTACGGTAAATCATACTGTTCGGCCCTAGACAGGTTATCTAGTTCACATTACGGTGAATCATACTGTTCGGCCCTAGACAGGTTATCTATTTCACATTACGGTGAATCATGCTGTTCGGCCCTAGATAGGTTATCTAGTTCACATTACGGTGAATCATACTGTTCGGCCCTAGATAGGTTATCTAGTTCACATTACGGTGAATCATACTGTTCGGCCCTAGATAGGTTATCTAGTTCACATTACGGTGAATTATACTGTTCGGCCCTAGACAGGTTATCTAGTTCACATTACGGTGAATCATACTGTTCGGCCCTAGATAGGTTATCTAGTTCACATTACGGTGAATCATACTGTTCGGTCCTAGACAGGTTATCTAGTTCACATTACGGTGAATCATACTGTTCGGCCCTAGATAGGTTATCTAGTTCACATTACGGTGAATCATACTGTTCGGCCCTAGTCAGGTTATCTAGTTTACATTACGCATATCTCCTTTACTATCAACAACATTTCAGATACTCAGTGAAGTCTGGATCGACCTGGGAGCCAAGGTAAATTTTAAAACTATACAGCTTCGAAAAGAAAATCTTAGGGCTGATTTGTGTCTAGCCACAACCTTGTCGTGGCTTCCTTAGGGCATATTGTGCTAAAATATTTTTCATGTCAGTCAGTTCAAGGTGTTGTCCGTAGCTAAGCCGCCGCCTTTATTTCCCATGATATTTCTTAGAGCTGATTTTGCCCGTCTCTCTATCGTAGTTGGCTTAACCGGGTTGCGCGGTGAGCGGGTGACGAACTCCTTGTGGTCCGGGTTCACTCCCGGGGGTAGGCAGAAAAGCCACATTTCTCACAGATTTACGGTTTTACAATGGAATCAAGGCTGAAAGGTTGCGATATCCATAATACCGAGCCTAAGGGTTAACAACTCATGGCTTCTGGTTACTAAAGCAAACAAACAAATAAACAGAGCTGATTTTAAACTGAGTCGTCCTTGGAGCTAAAAACATTTATAAATATTTATCTCAGTGAGGATTATATGGGAACCCTAGTAGAGTAGTGGCATAAACTTGCCTGTCAGCCCAAAGCTCTTGTGTTCGAATATGCTAGGGATGGATAAACAAAAAATTGACCTTGCCTCCCAGGTCGACACATCCTAAAATAGAATTAGGTACTGGCAGACATCTATGGAGTAAAAAAAAGTCCATTAAAAACATCAGTCTAGCACTCTATGTCCGCTGCGCCATTGGCATGGGATAGTCCTTTATTAAAAAGTGTATTGGAATCGACGCTTTCAGGGCCGACAAGAAAACGATTGCGCGATTTACCCTAAACTTGAATGCATTTACCCTTGACTCTTCCTTCGTACAATGTGTGACGAGCCGATCTGGACAGCTGTTTCTTTCCATTTCGCAATTGCTTTGTTCAAGTAATATTAATATCAAATTTCTAAACATTTCTTTATTGCTTTTTATTAGCAATTTTAATAATAAATTAGTTAGGAAGTTTAAAGGCTAAATGTACAGTAGAAGAATTAACTCAAGAGTTACTTCCCCCTTTGTAGGACTTCCTACTTGTATTTTCAAATCAGGCACTGACCAGTAGACTGAAGTTGGTCAGTTGTGTCAGGAAACTTTAGTACATTTAAGTATACAATATATTAACAGTTGGAAATCAGATGTGGGCAAACCCCGAATCCTCTCCTTTAACCAGCAAGGCTGGGGAAAATATAATTTCTTAGGATGTTCAATATTTGTAATTCCCTCTGTAGATTGCACTTAGTGCATTCGCTATATAAAAGCGAATTCACTCGCCACACAATGATTTGTCTCAGACTTAAGGAAACATACCCTTTCATATCCGTACAATGAGCTGTAATCTAGCTTTGAAGACACTTAAGTATGACTGTTAGTAAAGTGATTTACTTTGGGCTTGCAGAAAATTAAACTTGAGTGTCAGTAACATGATTTACCCTGGGCTTCGAGGCATTTAACCGTGAATGTCAGTAAAATGATTTACTCTGGGCTTAGAGAAATTGATTAGTGACTGTCAGTAAAATTATCAAACGTTGCCTTGGAGAATTAAACCCTGACTCTCTGTAAACAGATTTTGCCTTAGGCATGCAGACATTTACCTGTGACTGTCAGTAAAATGATTTACCTTGGGCTTGAAGACGTCTACTTGTGACTCTCGGGCAGTGACTTGCCAGGGGCTTGGAGAAATTGACCCATGACTTTCAGTATAATGATTTACCTTCGGCTTGGAAACGTATACCCATCATTGGCAGTAAAATGAGTTACATTGGGCTTAGTGACATTTACTAGTAATAATCAGTACAGTGATTTGCCTTCATTGACCCGTAACTCACTGTACAAAGATTTACCATGGGCTTGGAAACATTTACCCGTGACTTTCTGTACATAGATTTACCATGGGCTTGGAAACATTTACCCGTGACTTTCTGTACATAGATTTACCAAGGGCTTGGAAACATTTACCCGTGACTTTCTGTACATAGATTTACCATAGGCTTGGAAACATTTACCCGTGACTTTCTGTACATAGATTTACCATGGGCTTGGCGAAATTGACCCTTAACTCATGTTTCATGGACATATCTTCGAGAGGAACACAAAGTTCCAAATTTTGTGAAATCGTCTCAGTGAAAATAAGATAATAAGGTTCAGACGTTGACCACTGAAAAGAAATTTTATTTATACATAAATGAGCATATGCAGTATGTGAATATGAACACAATATTCTTATCAACTATATGCTATCAGTGTCAAACATGGATACTGTCTTCAGAAAACAGAAGGAAAATAGTCACGACAGAAATGAAATTTTTACGTTCAATGCTAGGTGTAACAAATCAGGTGGAGAGTCGGCACAGAACCAGTACTGAACTTTATAAATTGACAACAAATCAAATTGTTTGGCCATGTAACAAGATCACACAAGATCTGCTTATGAACGATGATATCAAGAGGAGAGTCGGCACAGAACCAATACTGAACTTTATAAATTGACAACAAATCAAATTGTTTGGCCATGTAACAAGATCACACAAGATCTGCCTAGGAACGATGATATCAAGAGGAGAGTCGGGACAGAACCAATACTGAACTTTATAAATTGACAACAAATCAAATTGTTTGGCCATGTAACAAGAAAAGCATCAGACAGTGCACCCCAGAGAGGACTGTTATACAGATACAGCTGTAACAGAGCCAGAGGTCAATCACGCAAAATATGGATCGCAGACATTTCAGAAACACTGAAAAGTTCTGTATAAGAAGCGAACAGAAGAACCAGTTTCAGAGATCTCTTCCAGTGCTGACGCCGCTGCGAGGCATTTCAGGAGAAGAGAAGAGAAATAGAGAACAAGATCATAAACTCAATGATTTATCGTGGTTTCACAGATCTAGTCAGCCAGCATAAGACTGGTACAGTTAGCCTCAAACAGCTGAGGAATCTGAGCACCTGTCGACGTGTCCGAAGTGTCAAGCGGATAACCAAAAGCTAACCCAGTGATTGACATGAAGGCAACAGTTTGATGTGCTAGTTATATATCTAGTTTCTTGAATGTCCCGCCAAGTCCTTGCATGTCGGCATCTCCACTTTTGCTGACAGAATTGCCGCTGTTCACATTCATCTTCACGAAACCAAACTTGTTGTCTTCTTCAAACTGGGCGTCTGAAGCCAGCAGCGACTCGACGAGTTCCTGAAATATAAATGTGAACACTTAGAGTCACCAAAGCGAAAGAAAAAGCCAATCACAGAGATGAAGTGGGGCGTATGCTATCTGCAGCAATAGACCTTCCGTTGCTAGAAATGCCGAAGAGAGAGGAGGCGGAAAAAAAAAGTTGGGGAAGATTTACTACATGTTATTAGCATCAAAACCTGGAGGTTCACGAACCTTGAGCTTCCTACCCATCCCCCTCTCCTCATCCCCCATAGCCAGTGCAAAACAAATATGGGTGGGGGGGGGGGGGAGAGGTTGGGGGTGGGGAATACTCTATTCCAGCGATATAACATATTCAATTTACAACTTTACTCCAGAGGTAAAAAATAAAATTATACGACGATTAGTTATACGATGATCTCCCTATTTACACAGCACCGGTTGTAGGTCAATTCCATTGATAAGTTGGTTGGACTAGTCTACCGTGGTCGAGGTTATGGGTGTCGCAGTTTGTTGTTGTCTGGCATCTACGTTTTTATTTGAGAGAAAGAGACAGATTGTGACATAGTTTTGTCACTGTCTAGGGGGAGTTGTGTTAGACCCATATCTAAATGTTTTTGAAGTTTTAAAAGCTTTGGCTTGGTGAAATATACAACACTCGGTATCAGCGTGAGTGCGGAATATCCCCGTGACCTTGTGTGAAAATCGGATCGCTCGAGGTTGACCTATCAGAAGTAAGGTGGTCAGTAGGTCGTCCAATCAGAAGCGAGCTAGTGTGTAACAGTGTTTAAATGGGGAGACCAGCGTAAAATTTACCTATTAGACTACTCTGCTTCAGAGATGCATCATCATTGATTTCAACTTCTGTCAAGAAACTAATGGTGTGTTAAAAAAACAAAGTAGGTCACTTGCACATTTGCTAATGTGTGTATTGCTGTGCCCCCCCCTTCCCAAAAAAAAAAAGACTGTTCCTTATTGTTTGCTCTAAGACACATATAAAGGCTAATTTTCAGGTATTTTTTATTTAAAAAAAAAAAACTCTACGTTTATCCCTTTAAACAATGCATTTATTGAAATAAAAAAAAACATGTTTTTGTTCTTTCCTAATATCCGACCCCAAGTGACGTCACGGGAGAGTCATACATTTTAATGGGTGTTAAGACTGGGTTTCCTTGCTTTCTTATGTTTTTAACGACGCCAAAACACCTAGAACTGGCCCTAACCTCAACCCACCTACGTCTCACGAGAGTGCAGCCTAGGTCCCACGACTGCATGCAGCTTAGATCCCAAGACTCCATGCAGCCTTTCTGCCAACCCCATTAAATATTAGACTGTCCCATGACCTGTAAATTTCCCCTGTTTGGGGTAGGATATTAAGAAAGCACCAAATGTGTTAAAGAATCTACAATTATTTAAAGAAATAATATGAATAATATAATTTATTTAAAATGTTAAATGTATTCATAGATTTATAATTCATCTGTGATGTTTCAGCAGATTAACGAAGTCGATCCTTCTGGATAAAGATCCAGCTCTTACATTAGGCAAGGGCTTTTATTACGAGCATCTAAAAAAAATTATGTTTCGTCTTATTTTCGGGGAGGAAGAGTCGCCGTGGCATAGCGGCTAGACGCTCGCATGCGGATCGGAAGGTCGTGGGTTCGATCAAAAATGACCTTGACTCCCAGGTCGACCCAGCCTTGAGTGGGTACCGGATGCAGTCTTGGGAAGTAAAGGTGACCTGCGTAATGCTGACCACATCACCCATCTTGTGCCGTTTAGTCTATAAAAATATAGGTCTAGCCTTATATGCCCTATACGCCTAAATGCGTGGAAATGGGTCCTTTACTTTCCTGTTATTATTTTCGGAGAACACGGTAGGACGGGACCAGGTCATCAATCGGCACAGGGCATTCACGGGTGAAGAGCATTATCTGGATCTTTTCTCGGGGGCTTGCTGGGAAATGAACAGGCAGAAAGACTGGCTGGCTGGCTCTGTACAACTTGGTTGAATACTTTTGCATCATAAACCAGACGGGGCTAAGGTCTTATGGGAGCATTTGTAAAATTCTGAGGCGCAAACTTATCAGCGCAGTCTAGTGAGAGGGAAACAGCAACGAGTGACGAGGGGACCAGGCTGATACTCGGCGCTCAGAGGTAGGGCAAGACGAGCACATAATCAAACTGCTACTGGCAACATTAATGCTGGCTGCTGAAGATGTGGTCGGGACGCTTATCGGAATACCCCGAGTTCTGTGATGTCGGTTCTTGAATCAACTCAACACAGCTGGTATTAGGGCATACATACAAACTGGGATTATGTCTAGACTGGCAATGTAGCCTTCTATGCGAATTTTATGCGCTGTACCGTCAACAGACTCAATTTACCTTGTTGCTGTGTTTTGGTAGCTTGCCTCCCAGATCTATGGGCAGGAACTCTGGGTTGATTGACGAATGTAACTTGTCGAACTTGTCTCCATTCACAACAAGCTGTAGGGATAATTCATAAAATCTAATGAAAGATGGCTGAGCTAGTCGAAAGCTGCATGTACATTCACTCACGAAATAAATAATAACACACCATGTGTTGCGTTAAAATATCAAAAAAATTTAAAAATGAGCTGAGCACACACAGTGCGTTACTTGGGACACAAAGAGTTAAACAATGAGGATTAGTCATACAAGGATGTTTCATACTAAAAGCAAAAACGTGTAACGCTGATCTTAGGTTTTTTCCAGATTGCTGCTACTTTTGATATCTTCCTGAATGTTGTGTTCAACATTTGTGTCGCTTTTCTGTGTTTTTAGTAGCCAAATTATTAGGAATATTGCGGTTAAAATTATTATTACAATTGTTATTATGCTGTTATTATTAATATTATGTTTGATTGTTTTTTTTTCTTCAAATTATTGTGTCCAAACTTTTGTTTTCGTTACTCTCCGATTCTTCCTCTTCTTCTTCTTCTTCTTCTTCTTCTTCTTCTTCTTCTTCTTCTTCTTCTTCTTCTTCTTCTTCTTCTTCTTCTTCTTCTTCTTCTTCTTCTTCTTCTTTTCTTCTTCTTCTTTTTCCTTCTTCTTCTTCTTCTTCTTCTTCTTCTTCTTCTTCTTCTTCTTCTTCTTCTTCTTCTTCTTCTTCTTCTTCTTCTTCTTCTTTTTCTCATTATTATTATTATTACTAGCTGTACCCGGCCACGCGTTGCTGTGGCATAGTTTGGCTAAATGGAAATGAAAGAAAATAGAAATCGCACGTGTCTAATACAATCATTGTCTGTTCAGATATAGAGATAGTCTTTGATCCCCACCCCACCACCCCCCACCCCCAACTAAATCCACCTACTACCCTCCCCCTTATCAAATTTAAGTCATTACCCCCCTCCCCTCTTCCACCGACTACTGCTTTCTCCCTCTTCGAAATATTTGAAAATCATTACCTGGCGATATTTTGTTGTTGCTGTAACTGACATTGACATCCCTGTCCATCTGGACTAAAATGGGGAGCAGGAATTGTAATAGGTAGTGAATGGGGCTAGTGTAATATTTACCACATCATCCTTCAAGTACCAGTACAACTACTAAAATAATGTCACTGCTATCTGTGTTACCTTCGGAGTAGACAGAGAGTCGTGAGCCAGAAGATTTGGTTCCGCATGGCTAGTGCTGTCGCCACAGACTGGTTAGGTTAGGATGTATAATTTCACTTGCCGACAGAAGAACGCCATAACCTTACCGGCGGTCTTCACATGAGAGCACTATGGTGTAACAGCCCTGGTGTAACAACTATTACTGCTGCTGCTACTTTAAGTGGGTAAAGCAGTTACTGTGACTTAAAGCTCTCTCAGTTAATAGTTTCTCCCCCCCCCCCCCCCCCAAAATTCACCGACAACTCTTTCCCTCATTGAAGTAGTTGGGAGAAAAAAAAAACACTTGAAAAGCAAACGAACACAGGAAAAAAACACCATAATTAGGAAATGAACGCCATTGTAAACAGCACAGCTTAAAATTCCAACACAGATGAAATAACTAAATCTAAATGAAAATAAATGAAAATCTATAAAATTTCAGCGTAACCATGCAATCGGAAAGTTTAACAATGCAATCATAAGTATGCGAAATGGTCAAATTTAATTATCAAATGGTTTACCCATTTACTTGTTTTTTTTTTTTTGTTTTTTTTAATATTAAGGCAACATGGCTAGTGCTGTCACCATGACAGAGCAGATGAGGATATTATTTTAGTCCGGGGCAAAAAAAAAAAAAAAAATTTAACGACTGCGGATTCGAACCCAGGTCTACCGCACATGAACCCAGTGTTCTAACCATTCGACCAAGCAGCCACTTAATCGGAACAACGAAAAGAGAACTCAACTATTAGACATGTGAGTCCATACTACTGTGTATTAAAACACAATTCAAAACCGCAGGCAATTGTTTTCTCGTAGACAGATACTCCAGATATATTAATGAAATAGAAATCGCACGTGTCTAACACGGTTAATGAAGTTAATGTCGCAGTCACTGTCTGCGCCGACGTCGAGATAGTCCTTGATTGCCCCCCCCCCCCCCATCGAAGGTTGTTTGAAAAAAACAACAGAAAATAGAAATCGTGTTTAATATGGTTATTGTGGCAAATATAGAGATAGTCTTGTTTGCTGTACCACGACCTACTCTATGTATTAGTATTAGAGAAGGCGTTGGCTGCACGTAACTCGCCGGCGAATGGTAAATACGGCACATGCGCAATTACTAACGTGGCTATAATTAGAAATCACTAAAGTTATAAATATTAGTTGCGTATATTTTGGCATAAATTGTGGTCACCTATCTCTAACAGTGACAGGTTGAATTTCAAACCACGACAGTTCAAAATCCGGTATCACAACAAACATATCCTGAAAATTTCAGCTAAATCGGTTCAGTAGTTTCCGAGTCTATAGGGGTGAAACAAACACACAAACATTGATTTTTATATATATAGATTATTATTATTATTATTATTATTATTATTATTCCTTCCTGGCTGTTATCTGAACGCTTGACAACACTGAGAATAAACAAAAATCTTACTCTGCAAGGTCAGCCAACCAAACAGATCCCAGATACCCCTTTGAACCTCAGAACAAGTTATAATTAGGGCACAATTTGGCTTCCAGGTTGACCCAGCCTCGAGTGGGTACCAGGTGCTGTCCTGGCAGGCAAAGGCGGCCGAAGTGATGCTGAACACATCACCCACTAAGCTCTGACTGGTCTATTAAATATAGGCCTAGCCCTATATGCCTAGTACGCCTTAAGGGGGAAAATGGGTCTTTTATTTTTTTTTCACCATAACTGCTACACCAGACTAGCTAACCTTAAGTGGGTAAGCAGTGAAAGTGTTCTAGCTGCCTGGGGTTTCCAGATTTTGTTTCGTTTCTCCCTGACTGTTGTTTTCAGACATTCATTTTCTGCCACTCCTTCATTCATGTGTCCCAGTTTTGTTTTGTTTTTACCTGACTCTTGTTTTCAGACATTCATTTTCTGCCACTCCTTCATTCATGTGTCCCAGTTTTGTTTTGTTTCTCCCTGACTGATGTTTTCAGACATTTATTCCTTGCCACTCTTTCATTCATGTGTCCCAATTTTGTTTTGTTTCTCCCTGACTGATGTTTTCAGACATTTATTCCTTGCCACTCTTTCATTCATGTGTCCCAGTTTTATTTTGTTTCTCCCTGACTGATGTTTTCAGACATTTATTCCTTGCCACTCTTTCATTCATGTGTCCCAGTTTTGTTTTGTTTCTCCCTGACTGATGTTTTCAGACATTTATTCCTTGCCACTCTTTCATTCATGTGTCCCAGTTTTGTTTTGTTTCTCCCTGACTGATGTTTTCAGACATTTATTCCTTGCCACTCTTTCATTCATGTGTCCCAGTTTTGTTTTGTTTCTCCCTGACTGATGTTTTCAGACATTTATTCCTTGCCACTCTTTCATTCATGTGTCCCAGTTTTTTTTTTTTGTTTCTCCCTGACTGATGTTTTCAGACATTTATTCCTTGCTACTTTTTAATTCATGTGTATCAGTTTTGTTTCGTTTCTCCCTGACTGATGTTTTCAGACATTTATTCCTTGCTACTTTTTCATTCATGTGTCCAAGTTTAGTTTTCTTTCCTCCTTTGAACCTCAGAACAAGTTATAGTTAGGGCACAATTTGGCTGCTTGGTCGACACAACCTTGAGTGAGTACCAGGTGCTGTCCTGGCAAGTAAAGGCGGCCGATGTGATGCTGACCACATCACCCACTAAGCTCTGACAGGTCTATAAAATATAGGCCTAGCCCTATATGCTCAGTACGCCTTAGGGTGGAAAAGGGTCCTTTATTTACTTCACCATAAGGGCTACACCAGAGTGGCTAACCGGCCGTCCTGAGTGGGTAAGCAGTGAAAGAGTTCTGGCCGACTGGGGGTTTCCAGATTTTGTTTTGCTTCTCCCTGAATGATGTTTTCAGACATTTATTCACTGCCACTCCTTTATTCATGTGTCCAAGTTTTGTGTATTGATGTATTTTTGTATTTTTATTTACTTTTTTTTTTTTTTACTCCGACTATCTGAGTTCGTGTTTTATGACACCATTGTATACCGTTTTCATGAGAAGATAGTGGTTTTCTTCTTGCTTCTTTTTGACTTACACCTACTCACACTTTACTACAGGCTACTTAACTGTTTTGTAATGGCCCGAGTATAAGTGTACAAATGGCTATATAGTTAAACGGGGTTTCCAGGAATAGTAGCTGTTTGATTCTCATCATTTAGATGTTAATCCTACATACTGCAATCCTGCTGTGTGTATGTGGTGTGTGTCTGTGTGTGTGTGTGTGTGTGTGGTATGTGTGTGTGCGTTTGGGTCTTTGTGTTTGTGTGCTTCTATATGTGTGTGTGTGTGTGTGTGTGTGTGTGAGTATGTGTGTAAGGCGGGAGAGTATATAGACATGAGAGTGACAATTCACTTACTCTACTCAATAGCTTCTCCTTCATGAAAGGTTTCATCAAGGCGAGGATGACGTCAAAGAACGCAGACTCCTTCACAAAATCGTAGCGCTTCAGTCTGATGGGGACTACATCCTGGAACACAGCCAGTCAGATAAGTATATGCTGGGCTTGCAGTTGTCATAGACAGGAGCGCCGATAAAAGGAGTACACTAAGCCTTCTTACACATTTACTAAAGGACGGATTTAAACAGGGGCCTAGCCTTATTTAGATTATTAATAATAATTATATTATTATTTTAATTAAAATAATATTATATGTATAAACAAAACATAATATGATTGAAATAAAAAGGAAGGGGGGGGGCGGCGGACGAGCAGCAGAGCACCCTTACAGATTTAGAGGAGGGGCGCCCCTGGTCATGGTGTCATGTGATACATTCTTAATGATTGTCTAGCGAATGGGACTAGAGGAAAAAGATTTAAAAAAAAACTACCAAATTCGTGAGCTGTTGCCTGTGTGAAATCGATGGAAGCAGAGTCTTGTAAACCACCCCCCCACCCCCCTCTCCATCCTTTCTTTTTCTTTCCCTGCCCCCGACAATGCTTTTATGTTGTTTTTTTCTTGAAATTCATAATATGCATATTATTATATGATCATAACATGCTTTATTGATAATATACAACTGCTGTGTGAAAGGTGGGTGTTTGGAAGGGCAGAATGTAAGACGGCCTGCGTGCCAAATTTGTAACCCTTTGAAAGCAAAGTTCATTCGTTCGTTCGTTTGTTCACCACTTAACACTTTTTCAAAATTATTCTTATCGAGGGAGTGGTGCTGAACCAGCACCCCTTAAAAAAAATTGTAAGCAGACTACAAGGTCCTATTGACCGTGTATAGACGTTCTCTCCATCGTCGACTGGGTCACCTGCTGGCTCGCCGTTAGATCACGTCGTCTCTAGTGGTAACAGTATGTGGGTTTGTCGCCATAATCGCATCAACGCTGCAGGAGCTTTTTCTAGATCTTTTTGGTGGCGTGCAATACTAGGCCATTTCAGATGGCGCACATAACATTGTCCCAGTTTAACCTAAAGCTCTCCCTCGCTTCGGTGATTCTAGCTAAACGCGAAATTTTTTTTTTTTTTTTTTTGTTAAGCAAAGCAACGGAAAGGCAGACATTCTCTTTTCAAGTATCCTGCCCCTAGTATTTTCCCCTCCCCCACAGATTTCTTGGTTGCGTCACGCCTAGATGGAATCAAGTCACTCAAACAAAGATGGAAAAAGCAAACAGGCTGTTTATTTCTTGGCACTCAGGCAGATGCACTCTGACGTCGAAGGAATCCCTAAATCTTCTGCTTTTATTACGGAACGCACAGAGGGGGAATAAGTATTAAACATCCCCGTGTGGGTTCCGGGGCCCCATTGTGGGGAAAACAAGCCACTGCCTTCATCGTCGTACGAGTCGACTAATTGGGAGCTTCCTTTGAAGTCGGAGTGCATCTGCCTGAGAGGCAAGAAACCAACAGTCTGCATTCAAGTGAATCAGATCTGTAAAACTGATGCACACGCAACACTCAGGTTCTGGAGCAGGACTGCAGTCCAGAAGTGGACGAACAACCAGAACTTTCCGCCAGAGTGTACAGCTGGTGAACGCTAAGAAGAAGAAGAAGTATTAAACAATGACATTGACAGCACTTTCTCCAATAACAGACACTCACAGAAACAGAGAGCACTTTCTCCAACAACAGACACTCACAAAAACAGAGAACACTTTCTCTAACAGCAGACACTCACAGAAACAGACAGCATGACACAAACAAATAAAACTGACACAAACACATGGCACTGGCTCAAACACATGACACTGGCACAAACAAATGACACTGACATAAACACATGACACTGACACAAATTCTTGACAGTGACATTCACAAATGAAAAAGGCAAAAACATGTGACAATAACATAAACAGCGATCTGGGTCAATTAACAGGAAACAGGAGGTGAAGTCTTATGTTATGGAACAAGTGTAGTTGTATGTGTGTGTGTGTGTGTGTGTGTGTGGTGTGTAAATGTGTGCCTGCGTGTGTGTTGGTTTGTGTCTGTGTGTATCTAGTGCGAGAGTGTGTGTGTGTGTAAATGTGTGTGTGAGAGAGAGAGAGAGACATAAAGAGAGAGAGAGAGAGAGAGAGAGAGAAAGAGATTCCCGCACATCACCTGGAGGGTGCTGATAAAAAACTTGGCCATGTTTGGCGTAGCTTGAGAGAGCTGTTTGAAAGTCATGGTCGCCAGATAGCTGATTAAATGAACTCCGCTGACCTGTGTGTCCTCATCCTGGGAACAGAAAATCATGAACATGTTCGCCTCTGACAAATAAGATAAACCAAACAAACAGAATATAGCAGCAAATCAGACATGAGGGTATTATAATATATTATACATTTCCAGTAGTTGATCTAGCTTGTCAGATAATGGCACATTGACAGTTGAGTATTGAATGCTGGACTTAAGTACTGACATTGTAGTATTCGGGACCTTCCCTTCAGCGCTTCGTGCTCATTTCCAACAGCCAGCAAAGAGTTCTAATTGTGATAGCCAGTGGCAGTTTGATTATATGTCCGTCCTGTCTTTCCTCTGAGTGTAGTGTCGACCAGATCCCCAGGTCAATCTCAGCTGTACCCTTCTCTAGAGATTATAATGATCTATTGGTATCTGTGCTTTGTTCATATGCTCCTAAAGGGTCTCGACCACATCTAGACTGCCGTGCATACATTTACCACCAATTGGTGCATGCCTCCGGAGAAAATATCAAAAAAAAAGCTAACTACCCGAGACCTTTGACAAATTGCTTGCGACTCTGCACAGATCATGCCTATCTCCAGCTTTCTTAATATGCTTCATGAGTCGGTTACAATCACGACGTATGTGTGCAGCTGGCTCTCAAGCCAACAGAAAGCTACAGTGAATACCTCTACCTCCATTCTCAAACTAGAAGTTGTAGTATTATACTCTAGACTTTGTTGAACTAAGCGTCGTTCCCCTTTCCTCTCTATACAGTCAGTTTTTTTTTTTTTTAATAATTGTGACCTTCCTGGATTACCGAAGTCTCCAGGACCGTCCAGTATGCTACTAGATACAACTGTACCAATCAGTTTATACCAACAACCTACAGTAAAAAAAATCTTATGTATATACCATATATTCCAGCACATCTCTATTCACCAGTAACTGATCGAAACCACCGGAGTTATGGCTCTTTGTTAATAGGCCACTGAGATAATCAGCTGTTTTTAAAAATTCGTTTAAGTGGGAATGTGTTGTTTTTTAGATCCGCATGTGTCTAAATCGTAAAGCTTTTCCTCCTAACTGGATAAGGCGATTCATTTGAGCATTTATGTCTTCGTGGGCATCAGTTGGACCACATGTTGTTCTACAAAAGGAACGCGACACACTTCTGACACCAGTGAAGCTGCATCATCATCAGGTGCTGCACGAGCGACTTGTAACAGTCTGCATTCTTTTCCATTAGCCACATGGTGGCGAAAGTGGTTGGAAAAGTGGAACTAAATAGGTCGTCTGGTCCTACCATCGTAGTCCAAGAGTTAACTAGTTTTGGGAATTTATTTCTACCACATCGATAGATCCAGTAAACATTACTGTCATTCCTACAGCCAGTGAAGAACACTAACCTGCCTTCAGCAATACACATCTAAGGGGTGTATCTAAAGGGGGCACTAATCCTTGCGTGTGTGGGTATAAGGTGCTAGCCAACCAGCTTTGTCATATGCAGAGTGACTTTGGCACATCCTATGCCTGTTCTTCTGATGTTTGGTCATCTTATGTTAGGAGCATCTGTAAGGAAAGTACGTTTCTCATGAAATGAGATCCGTGCAATTTTGAATGAATAGCTGTCTGCAAAAAACACTGTTGCAGCTTAACTATTGAGAAAGCATCGAGTATATCCTCTCCTTTATTGTTTATATCTAGGTAGTATAGTTTAGCGTAGACCAGGGGAGCTATTGAAGGGGTATACCTTCGGTGCAAGCAGCGCCCGGTCAGGTGTCATTGTCAGTTTACTAAAAAGACAGACAGAGCTGTTTAAAATTATATATTATCCAGTAAAACTCAAAGGTCGAACGATGAGGAATCTATGTTTCTGGGATAGACCAGCTGATTTCTTATCCTAGAGAAGAGGGACCTGCCGTCTGAGAAAACCATTGTGTGGTCCCATCTTTTCATGTAGGGTTAACATAAGTACTCTCTGTCTTTTGCCTAAAACATATTTTACAGTAGAGTTTGAAACTATCCAGTTTAGATCTTCTCATGTAAATTCTTGTTGTGGGTTTGGTAGTTCCACGTAATCAATATTCAATCCGCTCAACACGTCTAATGACGCCTGGTTAGGCCAGCACAGCAAAAGAAATAACTTTATGCTTATTCAACGTAACAACATCATGGCACACGGGCTTGGCTGGCTTTCTAATGCTTCTCGATCCTGCACATACACTTATTCATCAAGCGGAAGACAGAGAAAGAAGGGGGTGTTTTATGTGCAAGTGATTACATCAATACACCTCCACGACCCTAATGGTTTAAGGGTTATGTTATGGCACACAAGTTGTTGCGTGCTGATTTGGGGGAGTTTAATAGTGTGTGAAGGGACATAGTGGTATGATAGTACTTTGCCAGGAGTTCAAGGGAATGTGTCTATATTGGTCCGAATAGTGAGGGGGAGAGAATGTTGACCAGTGAAAATGTATTATCACGAACGAGTCATGCACGCCCGTGAAAGTAGACGCGTGGGTTCACTGTTTGAGGCTGACAATCATGGCTAATGAGGCACATGGAGAAAGTCTAAATTACGTCTCATGTCTCATGTAACATTAGCCACCCACATAGTTGTGATTTTCGAGAACGCCCACATGAGCGTGAGTCTCGAGAACGCCCACATGAGCATGATTCTCGAGAACGCCCACACGAGCGTGCCTCTCGTGTAAACATTAGCCGCCCATATGGGTGCGGCAGAGATTTACTGGGGCTGCGTGGTCAGTGGAGTCAGTCGGAGCAAGAAAGAGAGAGAGAGAGAGAGAGAGAGAGAGAGAGAGAGAGAGAGAGAGAGAGAGAGAGAGAGAGAGAGAGAGAGAGAGACTAAGTCAGGGTCAGTCAGTATCTCTCAAGTGAGACAGACAGAGCAACTATTAGGCATCAAGGTCTGTGTAAGGGTTGCGTGGAAGGTACTGGTCAAAGGTACATTCCCATCCTGCACTCATCTTCTCCTTGGCCTTTCTCGTCCTCTCTTCCCAGGCATATACCCCTCCATTAATGTCCTCTCCAAACTTTCGTGACGTTTCAAGTGACCAAAATATTTCAATTTTCCATGTTTTATCGTCTTTAATAATGCCACGGAAATGAGATGTCTGAGAAGGGCTGTAGGAGTGACCATAAGAGATAAGATCAGGAATGAGATCATAAGAGAACAAGTCGGCACAGAACCAATTCTGGATTACATACAAATACAGCAAGTGAAATGGTTTGCCCACTTAGAGAGAATGCCTTGTGACACCCTACCATACAAAGCATACATGGAAAGAGAAGAAGGACGTAGAGCACGGGGTAGACCAAGAACAAGATGGAAGGATGACATCAGAGAAACTCTACAACAGCACGATGTGCCTATGGTCGAGGCAGCCAGAAGAGCTAGAAACAGAACATTATATCTCCCTCGACACCCACAGAGGTAAAAGAGGAAGTAAAGAAGAAGAAGAAGATCGTCTTTAATAGCCAACCTTTTTTAATATTCGGTTTTTTTCCTTTGCCCATGATGTTTCTAGAACCCGGCTATAACATTTGTATTCAAAGGCATTTAAGCGCTGCTCAACTTGTTTAGTAATTACCCAGGTCTAATAGACATATCTTGCAATGAGAAAGATGCAAATCTATTTGGAGGGTGGGGGTGGAAGGGGGGGGGGTTATTCTGTCTATCCCACTCCATAATTTATTCAGTTGTTTTAGTCTTTGAAGAGAAATTGATAGTCTTCGTTAAATTTCTTTCATTGTGTCACCATATTTGGTATTCAATCACCCATGATATTCAACATTTTACACAACCTCCAATCTTTCCTCATTAAAATCATTTTTTTTTCTCCATTGTAGTTTTACATGTATGCACCAGAATCTATCAAGCTGGCTTTTATTTAGAGATTTGCCTCCACGCGTTTCTTTGTGTAGTTCTGATTTAATAACTATTGAACCACCTCTAATTTCTTCTTTTTCTGCGTCTTCCTAATTATAATACTCCATCTCTTTTTCCTCCTCCTCCTTATTTTTAATTTTCTTCCTTCCTTCAGCTTATAAAATACAACGTACGTCTACTTACTTCTGAAATCATTGCAAAGGTCATGTATATAGCCTTCAAAATGTCTGCAGCAGGATAACGGTCGGGATCCCAGTTGTCTTAGGAGGAAAAAAAACAGGTAGTGCTTGAAATATGAAACTTCTGGTAATATCAATTCTTTTGTGCACAACAAGAATGTAAAATTAGTCTTATATATATATATATATATATATATATATATATATATATATATATGTGTGTGTGTGTGTGTATGTGTGTGTGTGTGTGTGTGTGTGTGTGTGTGTGTGTGTAAGGTCCACAATTAAGTAATGAAACTAATTCCATAAAAATTAAAATAACATTTGAAGATATAGCCTGTATTTTTTTCAAAGTAAGCCCCTTGTGTATTGATACAGCGAGTGGCACAATCTAAGAAACGCTAAAACGACCTACTGTAGTTTTTCTATTGTTATGGTCCTTAAAGTCGATGTTAAGGCCCTTTGGATGCCATAAATATTGTCAAAGAAGTGTCCTTTCAATGGCAACTTTGATTTTGGGAATAGAAAATAGTCACAGGGAGACAAATCTGGGAAATAGAGTGGATGGTTGAGAACACGCATCTGTTTTGGGGCCAACAATTCCTGTACAACCACCGCCCTTTGAGATGGTGCATTGTCATGAAGAAGGAAACAAAAATCCAGGTGTTGAATAGAAACCGACAGGCAACTTTTTTATGCCTTAATCTTCCACTAAAATGTTCACGAATAGTCTCTTCATTAACACCAAATTCATCTACCATCATCGTCACAGTCGAACAACAATCTTTTTCTAATCGTCCTCTGATTTTTGCAATGAGTTCCTCATTACGAACAGAAATTGGGCTTCCAGGTCTAGTTGCATTAGTAATAATTTCCACACCTCTTTTGAATCGCGAATACCAGCTGAAAGTCTGTGCACGAGATAAACATTTATCCCCATAAACTTGTCGCAACAATTTATCTGTCGCAATGGCGCGTTTTTCTGAGTTGTAAACATAATTTAATGCTAGCTTTTTTTTGGGGGGGGGGGGTGCTCCTGCTGATTACGTAACAGTGCACCTCTGACTAGGTTAACAAAATGGCGGCTTGTTTGTTGTCTGCTTATCGGGCGGCGATGAAAAGTTGCCTGATCATAGACGAAGGTTGCCTCTTTGGATTCCATGCTTTGATTCATAGATGGCATTTTATTCTTGACCATAATATAATCAGTCTCATTACCTATTTGTCGGATCTTGTGTATATAAATATATAAACTGCCAATTACTGCCTGTATTTTAAAACTGTTGCGGTACAGGCAAGGGATCTTTGAGTCTGACGTTTAAGGGTCAAATAGTTAGTGCTGTAGCCACGAATTGTGCTGGTAAGGATTTTTTGTGTGTGTCCCAGACAGAAATAAAAATCCCTTTACCCTACTGATGATTTGAGCAGAAATATATAACCCAATACAGTTGGCTTATGTAATTTAAAAAAAAAAAACATGGCCCAGATCAATTCCCAGCAAAGAGAGATGCTCGGCAAAGGGAGAAGAAAAGAGAAATGAAACTCTACTCTCGGACCATACTCTTTGTCAGCGAAGAATGCATTTCAAATAGTCAACCACAACGAGCGAGAAAGTCACCAAGGGGTAAAAATAAAACCTTGGCAATATTGAGGCTTTCATTTGGCGCCAACGTTGAAATAATATATACTGTAAGCATCATAAATTACTACCATTAACTACTACATTATTTTCATCAGTTGACTCTACAAAACTGCACGACAATCATTGTATCTTGAAAGTCTGCCTTGTCAACTTACCAACAACGTTCGTTATTACCAAAAATATCAACAAAACACACACACAAACAAAAAACAGCCACGACCACAACAACGTTCGTTAATACAAAAAACATCAACAACAGCAACAACAACAAAACAAAAACACACACACACACGCGCGCGCGCACAAAGTAACAACAACAACACATTGATAATGATAATTCAAACAATAGTAATAATAATTCAAACGAGAACTAGTTTACTTGGCAATACTACAGTAACGAACGACAAAATGAATGCTGTTGCTATAAAGCCTTCCTCAGTATACCACACAAATGGACAATAATACAATAACTAACAACAATACATAATTTTCACTTAACTGTTACAAAGCCTCTATAACTCGCTTGAATAGTAAACACATCTACGTGCAGAATATAGACACTCGACAGAAAGTTGTTCAGTGTCTGGAGGGGCAGTAGCCATGTGGTTTCGCAAAAGGTCGTAACTTAACTCACTACCAAACAGCAACTCACCTGGTCTGAGAATGATGACCCTACATCCTTCGTTGTCCCGATGTTTGAGTACCTCAATGAAACCATCATCAAAGACATGCCGGACCCGAGATGGCTTCAAATCACTACACATTTCAGGGAATTGGACCCGAATGTCGTAATAGTTCTTCACCAATTGGAAGCTTCTTTCTTGATCAAACTTGCGAGCTCGTAAGAAGCGCAGGAGAAACCGGACATCTGTTCGCGGCTGCAGACCTGGTAACACATTTGTATGTGTTGGGTATTATTATGCTTCATAGTTTCGCACACACATAACGTGTTTTATACTATACGTATAATAGATCTGTTATGCCCCCCCCCCCCTTTCCCTCATACCCCCACCCCCTTGGGGTTTGCTGAAAATAGATGTGTTGGGCAGAAAGGCACAGGTGTCACAGCCTATATGTAAACGATAACATAATATGTCAGTCACGCATTTATGGGTGGAAACACACTTCTGGCAAGACATGGATGTGGCTTCTTCAGGATACGTCAGTTAAGTAATTTTGTGTATTCGTGTGGTTTTGTTGGATTTATGTATGTGTCAATAAGGCTCTATAGCCGCAACGTTCACTTTCCATTTGTGTTTGTTTTATTGTGGAGCTAGCTGATTTACTTTTCGTTCGGTTTTATATCTTTCAATTATCTTTTTTAAGAGTAGACAGATCTGTAACGACTGAAGAGCTCACGAGCTTCTCCGAGTGGTTGTGTCGCTCGAAATTAAGAATGAAATTGGCTCGTCACGTGGTCTCAAGTTATCACGTCATTCAAGAGTAGACAACTGTAATCGTAAGATTTTACAACTACAGTGCTGCCATCACAACTACCACCACCGCCGCAAATACTTTTACTACTACTATTTTTTGGGAAGTAAAGGCGGCCGGTGTCATGCTGAATTCATCACTCACCAAGTGCCGTTTGGTCTATAAAATTTAGGTCTAGCCCTATATACCCAATAAGCCTGAAGGCATGGAAATAGGTCCGTTACTATACTTCACTACTACCGCTGCTGTTGCTACTGTTGCTGCTGCTGCGGCTGCGAGAATCTTTTTTCCAGGAAAATCCTCAGCATTCGCCGCAAAGTATCTATTACAATAGCCCTGAAAAAAAAAAGTTACATACAAAAGAGTAGCCAGGTGCCGTCATAGTAACAGACCTGACCTTTACTACCACCCTCATTTGTGTGTGTGTGGTAATGTTTGTTTAGTGTTGTGTGTGTTTGTGTGTGTGTGTTTGTGGACAAATGTGTGATATGTAAACGATTATTATACTGTATGAGTGTGTGTGTGTGTGTGTGTGTGTGTGTGTGTGTGTGTGTGTGTGGTCAAATGTTTCACATGTAAACGATTCTTATAATGCATGTGTAAATGATGAACACATAAGTACCGCTGGTAAGGAAAACATTTCAATCACTACAATGCATGCCAATGAGCGAATCATCCTCTGAAATTGGTACTAATTATTATGCAAAGGAAAGGGCTAGATCTACATTTTATGGAACAATCGACACTCGAGGACTGATGTGCCAGCCCACTTCACTTCCCAAGACTTTACCTAGTCGGCCATTATAGGCAGGGTCAACATGGAAGCCAAGGTCAGGTTTGGAAGAAAAAAATCCATCTCAATGCAGATTTGAACCCTACACTTTCGGGCAGTCAGGCTAGTCTCTAGCCACTACGCCCAGTAAGGCACGTATTAAGCACTATAAGTTGTTGTGTGTCACATACAACAACATACCTGTGACTTTTTACAGTCGAGCCCTCAAACGTGTCAAATGCAACAACAAACCTGGAATTTTTTTCCAGTCTAATCCTCAAACATGTCACAAACGAAACACATACCTGGAATTTTTTCCAGTCAAGCCCTCAAACGTGTCAAATACAGCAACATACCTGGAACCTTTTCCAGTCGAGTCCTCAAATTTTTAATTTCCAAAAGACGAGTTTTTGGGTCCTCGTTGAGTTCCTTGGCCGCTTTCTCTTGTAACTCCGGGCTCAGGGTGCAGGTGTAACCTCCATCTTCCTTCTTGGACGACTTGAGCATGGTGGTGACTCAATTCTGACTTGGGTGTTTTGTATGCAGGTGTCTGTAAATGAATATTAATACATGTGATTTAAATGTGGCTTGCCAGATCGCGTAGCCATACATATCTCTCCAAACATCTCCATTCTTGTTGGCTTACGTCAATTATATTCAATATATTCTTTTGAAGCAGCGTTTCTCGAACTTTTTACATCCGTGGCCCTCTGAAAGGCACGAAAACTTCTTCATGGCCCGCCTGACATTTAATAAAACACAGAAACAAAGACGTGTTTAAATAGCAGTTTTGATTGTTGTTGATTTAGATGTCACAAAATTACAAATTGCAGCTAATGCAGCATTTGCTGCTGCCTTATCATCATCAACATCCTTCGTGTGCCATTAACGGTCACATAGGGTTCGCATTCGACCCCTCCACTCTGCTCTGTTGTATACAGCTTTCTTGATTTCTGGCATGAAGTTCAGCCCAGTATATATTATGTATTGTAATGAGTCATTTTCTCCTTGTTAATTAATATTTCGCATTTGGAAATGAGGTTAAATACTAAACATATATTATGAGCTTGAATTTTGTTGATTTGAATGGTAAAGAGTACGAAATATAATGAATAACTCGAGGTAAGCGTGATAGTTGGCTGAAACGTGCTAGAGTAGAGAAGCATGAACCATGTGTAGAACCCTGAAGAACTCGAGAGGGAAACATATTATTTAAGCGGGGAATGATCTAGAAGAGTCAGTCTTGTTTTCCATCTAGGGGCAGTTTGTCTGACGGTGCTGGACAAGTGAAAGCTGAATGAATCTTCCAGCACGTGAGTGCTTGCTCAAGATTTGACTGTTTGTCCCCAGAAAACCTGGCCATCTTGTTCTCACGTCTCGCCATGGCCGAACGTTCGTTTGTTTGATATCAGTGTAAGTGTAAACGGTGGGAGAGTTGTGGTTCGTCATCATATTAAAGGTAACGTGTAGAGTCGACTGCAATTATTGATGTTGTTTTATATGGCCAATATGGTCGTCCCTAGATGTTTCTTCCTCCGGTACAATGACAGAGAAAACTGTTTTCAAAACAGTCGTTGGAATCAATAAATATTTCTTATCGTATCGGCTGTATGGCGTTTCCTTGTTTCATGTTCAAAGTGATGTTTAACTAATTGTCAGTGTGCCTGAGAAGGCTGCATGCGACTAGAGCCCGAGAGAGTCATTCCAGTAACTGCTAAAAATGCTGGACAATTTTAGCATGGAAACCAATAGTGACCACCAAAAGTCACTGTGACATCGTGGTTAGTGTGCTTGCCTTTGGAGTATATGGTCCAGGATTTATTATCAGAAATAAAATAATGTATCCCGATTGTGGGCTTTTGTTGAATCGATTCACATTCATAAAATGAGTATCAGGTAACTTCGATAAACTACAGTATGTTCTACATACAACCAATACTGAAACACAATAACCGATCTGTTAAAAAAAAAAAAAAAAAAACTATGTTCTTCTATTTAAGGTTTTAATGAATTCAAGCTGTACGATAGACATGAGACACCTTTTAATTTTTATTTAAGCTGTACGATAGACATGGCCAATGAGACACCTTTTAATTTATATTTAAGCTGTACGATAGACATGGCCAATGAGACACCTTTTAATTTATATTTGGGGGTGCCTAGTTGACCATGTATCTTAGTGCACTTGTATTCATGGCGAGGCGCAGACGCCGTCTGGAGGTGACAGGTTCAATTCCCGGCACGGTAACTATAGCTTTCGATATTTATGTTGTCTAGTGTGTTCTTCTATCTTTCTACTTCTTTCTACGAGTGCCGTTCACAATACTTTCTGTTCCTTGATTAAGATTAATTCATAATGAATTCAATCAGCATGCCATTGAAGATCGTTCCATCTGCCAAGCTTGGTCTACTTACAGCGGGCTTCGGTCGCTTAATCTACACATGGCGATATGTGTTGAAGAAGACAGAGCATCTATGATTTACCCGGAGTGCTATAATTTAAGCCATGCATTCAGAAATGTTAACAAATAATTTATTCACTCACTTTACAACTTGAAATGGACAGCACAGAAGGGTAAACAGAAAGATAAAAAGCAAAAAAATTAGGTTTCAAATTCCCGTAACGCACTATGTATATGTAATTCACTCCTTGCAATCTCATTTTGCTTAGTAATTACGATTACCGATAATTTAATATACCTTGCTAGTCACAGAATAAAATGTGCAAGAAACAGAAGTTTCGAACTACTATCCGTTGAGCACGCACCACAACTGAAAATATTTTTTTTTTTTGCAAACTAAAATCAAGTTTAAAATTTCTGGTACATATACAGGACAGCAACCAGACCGTGTCAGGCAGAGACGGCTTTTTTTTAAACAGTATTTATCGAACACAGATTTAACTGAAATACTTTACTCGTTGTACTCGTAAAATTTCTTTGCAGCTTCGGATCACGCTCTGATTAATGCAATGACTCCCAAACTGCTTGATGTTTGTGGCACAGTT